GTGGGACCGCGGAAGTCACAAACACCGCACATGAGTGACGTGACGTGCCGTGGCTCCTGTCGGCCAGAGCCGGTGGGACCGCGGAAGTCACAAACACCGCACATGAGTGACGTGCCGTGGCTCGTGTCGGCCAGAGCCGGCGGGACCGCGGAAGTCACAAACAACCGCACATGAGTGACGTGACGTGCCGTAGCCCCTGTCGGCCAGAGTCGGTGGGACTGTCGAAGCCACAAATACCGCGCTATCGTGCAGCCGTCTATGCGCGACTTGAAGAATTTGGTTACTGGATATCTGCCATTAAGTTTAAATGGCCTGGGATTATTGCCAATGAAAATTGTATGCAGCCTCATTCAAGAAACGAAGTTTGGCTAGATTATAGGTCGGAACGCCCGTGTCCCAAATTGGACGACCGCTTAATCATAATTCAGTGGCGGTCATCGACTGGGTGCTCGGCTTCACCTCAGTAAAAATATGCTGCGTCCAGGCCGATATGTTTCCAATTTTAACAAAGTGCTCGGAAAAAGATAGGTGATATCAGTGTCCCATTGGATGCCGAGGACAAGCTACTTATTTCAATGGAGGTGATTGCACTTATATACATTGGCTCCGCCACGGGGAACAGGAGGACCCATACCTCCCAATTTTCCAGGCTAGCAATACGATTATTGCGGTTCGTAGAAAGAAATTGCTTACAAATCTCGATAGCCCCCCCCCCCCCCCCCCCAACTTGCCGCATGAAAGGTCCAATGTCCATATTCTCACCTAGGCTTAAATAGCCACAAATGTTGATCTTGTGTTAGCTGAGATTTTACGCGCTAATTCCATCGGCCTCAAGAATTCTGTCTCATTGGACATGTTTTATACATAACATGTGCACTGCACGGGAAGGGGAAAATCCGGCCGCCCCCTCCCCCCAAGCTGTTGTGAATATCTCCGGTGCCAAAGCGCATGTCTTGGCGCGATTTTTGCCTGCCTGAAAGTCAACTCATTTACAGAGCGGCAGTCACCTGTGCAGTCAGAGTCAGGCCGTCTGGCCGCTTGCCTGACCAGCCTGGGCAACACCCGCCGACGCTTGTGGCCTGCGAAATGTTGACCTGCGGCCATGAAATCTTGCATGACATGTTTCTGTTCGGTGCTCATCTGTCCAGTAAGATGTTCTGCTCTAACTCTGGTGGTTCCCATTTATCATGAAAGCCTGCGTCAAGCCGGACAGGCATGTTTGACCCCATTTGAGCTGGAAAATATCGACCTAAGATCAGTGATGGTTCAAAGCGGTGCTCTTACAACCTCAGTGTCAATGCCGACCCCGACCTCACTGCTCACTTGTTTATGACGTGAATCTTAAATCATTTGTATGCAAGGTCCCGCTGCATTCTACAGCCACATTTCAAATCAAAAGATAATGTTCTGAACTCTGCTGACATATCCCAGGCATAAATTTCATGATGCCTGTCAAAAACTGACGCTGTGTTCTCGCGCTGTATAAACAACAGTCGTCTGTTTTTGGCCGTCAACAGGCATTTCACTCTGCTTTGGGCTCGCAGGACTACCAATGTTACAAGTCAGGCAAAGCTAGGCCTGAAAAATGACGTAACCAAACCTCAAAAGCTGCGGAAGCTTCCACATCGTGCTGGCAACAGCTCTGGCGGCATAAGTTGCCTGGGTGGTCAGTACGAGCTGGTCTTCCATCAGGTGGTGCGGTCGACCGCTCCCTCCCCCTTGCCCAGCAGTAAGGCGCAGTAGCTCACGTACCCCGGTCCCAGTTTGTCAGCGGCAGTCGCAGGATAATCGTCACCACAAACTGCCACAAGCGTCACGGAACAAGCGTCACGCTGCGACGGCTGTCGATGGTGGCTGAACGGTCGTCATGTCGAAGCCAGGGGTCAGAGGGTGTGGTCGGTTTCGGCCCACGCTTCATGCTGGTGGCGGGATAAGACCATACACTTGTGGCTTGTCATCTGTGCCAACTGCGACGGCGGTGTGAAACAGTGCTGTGCCAACTGTGACAGTCTGGAGAGGTCCATCTTATCATGCTCCCATCCATGTTATATTAGGTCGCTGGATCGGAGAAACTCGAACCGCAATCATGGCCTCTGGCCATTCTCATCGAAGGAACATCAGGAAAACAGCAAAGTCTTCTACCCAGGCAACAATGTCATATGGTGCAAGAGCAATCTGTGCGCTGCTCAGAAGACACTATTGTTTTTGCAATCAGAGTACAGCGGCAACAGCAACACACGTGCTAATTTGTGATCCTACCTTTCGCCACGCGTCGCTACTTTTGCGCCGCACCTTACATCAGCGCCGTTAATTAATCAATATATATATATATATATATATATATATATATATATAAACTTGGACCCATAAATAGAAGCGTTTGATAACTGAAGAAGAAGGTTTCGTGAAGTGAGCACAGTATTACATTTAAAATCCTGACAAGAGAGAATGGCGTCTTTCGCTGGTAGCGTTCTGCACGTCTGAGCGCTATGAAGCTAATGCATCCGACTTACCGGAAAACGCAGTTAGCTTGCCGGAAATGTTATGTCTAAGGCCGACAACATAAAAACGCAGCCCAAGCAGAGCTTTATATATGACGTATGAAAATATTGACTGTGGCTGAGACATCCCGCTTCACCAAGTATTCCGACCTCCGCTATTGTATTGTTTGTTGCTTGTGTGCGTGACGTGCTTGACTTACTGAGCACTGACTAATTGAAAGGGTTTTATTAGATTCTAGACGGCCGCATAATTGGCTGGGCTCAGCACGACAGCCGTTGTGATGGACTGTGACTCATATTATCTTGACATTTCTGCGCGACGACAAATAGCAATTAAGATTTGAAATAATTGGCTGTGAAGCATGCCTATGAAAAGTTGGTTACATGAAGGAAAACACATTGGCAAACCACGGAAGGTATCGTAAAGATGCTCAAACGTTTCTGGTTATATTCTGCGTGCAATGATGCGGACAAGGGCATGTTGAATACGCATACATAGACCCATTTACATACACACATACACACACACACACACACACACACACACACACACACACACACACACACACACACAACACACACACACACACACACACACACACACACACACACACACATATATATATACATATATATATATATATATATATATATATATATATATATATATATATGTGTGTGTGTGTATATATAGGCATAGACGAAAGATGCCATTTTCTCTTGTTAGAATTTCCGATATAATACTTTGCTCACTTCACGAAACTTATGAGACGCATCTACTTACCTGTTCAAGGTTGGACGCTTTACAGTTGGATGCCGTGGTGTGATTTGTGCTTGTGACTAAGCTGTGGGGACTATATTATTCAACATGTCATAACTATGGCTGCTCAGTACTTAAAGCTGTGCACTTGCCGTCATGGTTCAGTACTTAATCGCAATACACGATTATTTTCGATGAACATATGTCAGGGTGACGTCTCTACCTCCACCGGTCAAAGACCATATGTCAGGGTGACGTCTCTACCTCCACCGGTCAAAGACCATATGTCAGGGTGACGTCTCTACCTCCACCGGTCAAAGACTACAGTGATGATTTTTTTTATCTAACCGCATGAGTTGTTTGCTCGAATTAATTTGGGGGTGTACCTCTGTTGAGTAAAGCATGCTGCAGTGGCACCTGCCACTTAAACCAAATGGCCTAGCTATAAGATAATCTGCCTCAGGCTGGTAGCAAAATACATATTGCTGGCATTTGGACACCCTACGCAATGTCACAAACTGCACGGCTGCCCCGTAAAAGAGCTACATTCTTCTTGTCGGGCATCGCGACACTTCTGGTGTGATTCGAACCCACTTGACTGCTGTGTGCCGAGATCACTATGCAGAGACTGACGCTCAAACTACCACACCACCCGAACACCAGAGCGTTGGTTATTTTACATTCAAAGTTTGAGGAGCGTGTAGATTGGCTGTGAATCATATAGAATTTCACAGGCGCTTAGTGCTAAGCACAAAAAAATAGTCGGGCTTTCACCGTACAGGCCAGGTTCTCCACGTTTGAAGTGTAAAAGAGGTCTACCACTTGAACATCACATACGTGATTCAGCGCTGACAATGGCCTTTCTAATGATTCATCGCTACAGGTGTCGTTGAGCAAACTTTTGTAATGCGGTTGCATCCAATCAGCAATGGTAGCATTCACTATCCCGCACCGTCCATGCTTACTGCGCCTACTGGCTGCTGTTGCCAAAGAGTCGGGGAGACGACGCTGCTCCACTTCGTATGGCAGACTGGCCAGGCAAGTCAAACAAGCCACTACTCGCTGAGCTGTGCGACATTTTTAGTGTTGCTGGCTGGTAGCCCGCGTGAGGTCATATCCATAAGAAGGCAAAAGAAAAGGTGTTTGTTGCCAACAAAATTATCGCCGCCAGCGCATCTGGTCGTTTCGCCAGGCATGCTGTTCAGGCAGTCCGTATTCACCTCTGCGCAGGTAGGACAGAAAAATAGCACACTACCAAGTAGAACCCAAAGGTCTTGGACGTAGCAGCCCTGACCGAGGCATCATGAAGCCATCAGAGGCCTCAATCACAACGCTAAGCTGGCTACACGGCCAGCTACTACTTTTAAACGGGGAGAAACACTCCAAACTCTAGAGGGGCCGGGCGCCCCCTCCTCCGAGTGTTTCAAGCTTCGCTTAGGGAGACCTGGCTCCAAACACCAATGCACCCCCGTGTCACCTTCAAATAGCTCCATCGCGTCGCTCAGGGAGACCTGGCTCCAAACACTAACGCACCTCCGTGTCACCTTCAAATAGCTCCATCGCGTCGCTCAGGGAGACCTGGCTCCAAACACCAATGCACCTCCGTGTCACCTTCAGATAGCTCCATCTCTGCTGCTCCAAAGACTTACACCGATATCCCCAGTGTGCGTCACGACCCAGACGCCGACCCTCCCACCAAAGACAGGGCCACCGCACGGGGCGGCGGCCGTTCGACTCACCTGGCTCCGCCGCCGCCTGTGGACCGGAACGCGTCACTCTCGCGCGCCGACGAGCGACGCTGGCACCGCCGCCGACGGCCGACGACTCACCTGCGACGCGTCGGTGCCGTCGCCCGGTCGGCGGCGGCGCGCGCCGAGCTCGGCGACACGCCGCCGGCGGCCGGAGACGCCCGATGTTGGTGTCGGATGCGAGGGGGCCGCGGGCGGCGCCGCAACACACCCTCGTTAGCGACAGGCTGCGGGGGTGTTGGGAGAGGAACGCCGGGCCGTCGTCGTTAGAGGCCGCCGGAGGGGCAGGAGAGGCGGTCACTGTGTCAGATTGACTGTCACGTTAGCTAGAGGAGTTACTGCTAAAAACTAACGTCGAACACAGGGTATGGAGGCAGAGGATACATTTTTTAACTGCTAGAGGTTGCTGGATGGAGGTTAGGGGTTACTCAGATGCATCGGCTGCTGTGGAAGCTAAGGAGTAGGCGTCCATCGCCATTAGAGACTCTTGCATTGGCTAGTTTTCTCACAGGGCTGCTAACGTTGACTTCCATTGGCCAAGGGATCTCGATTTATGACGATGTACAAGCATTGATTGATTGTGATAAGTACTCTCGATTGTTGAATGCCGTCCAATAGATTTGATCTCACTCCTCTGATAAATGCACCGAAATGTCTTGTTTCAGCTTTCGTAAAGCAAGGACCTCCCTGACCACAGCAGAAGCACTTGACAAGACTACTAGCTGGGCCACGTTTGTGCGCTCCACTTTGATATAGACTAACTGGGCCATTCTGACCCACCGATGGGCCAAAATCGCCCCGTTACGCACTTATTTCAAACGAGTGTTTGCAAACCGATCGCATCGTTCTCGTCTCACGTACCGCCACATGAGGTCCTCAACGCCTGATGACAGCGTTTTGCAGATGATGATGCTTCATTTATATTTTTTTACTAATAACTGGGCACCGAAAAACTAGGACCGTAAACAAGCGCACCAGCCGAGCGATGACTAACTGCTACGCTGCTGTGTTATGTTCTCACATGTATTGTGGCGGTACCCGCGCTGTATATGTCATGTCCACGTACATGCAGCTTTCCCACCATTCCATTGCCTTAAACCCAATAATAGCTTCATTATCAAGCGGTCATATATTTTCGTCAAGGTCCACGACGTCAAGAGATGAATAATGAATAAGCGACCACCCCTCCTCCTATTAGCCTAGGTCACAAGCCACCCTGGTGGGCCTAAAACAGCCACTGTTAGATGTCGCACACTTCACCTGTCACTGTTGGCGATGTTGATTCAATATGGTGATCAAAATTACGCGACGTGCTTCTGCACGACAAGCAACACAGTGCTCATTATGAGATTCTACGCACATATAGCAATCACGACAGCCGTCATGAAGGGTAGTTTGACTGCAATCAAACAAAATAGCTTGATGCAAAGATGCCACCGTTAAAGCCCGAAAGGCTGGTAGATAATATATATATATATATATATATATATATATATATATATATATATATATATATATACATATGCATCCATTTATTTGTCCATATATTTATCAACGTAAATCATCGTTGCACCACCGTAAATTGGAAAAAGGTGACCATGCTTTGTGTGTGCTCATCAGCCTAGGCAATGATAAGGTGATGTCAAAGGTCATGTTGTTGCCCACATGCAACAGAATATATGGACTACAACTGGAACAATTCATGCAAACATTTCGTACCGTGGGCCGGGCTTTAATTAGTTTGGCAAAAAATCGACGCACATGCGTCGCACCGTAGAAGACCAAACATCAGTTAGTGGTCGTGGTGCTCCAACGGGCTTTTATTTGTCCAATTATACTAAGAATCTTACCACATAATTATTTCTGATACCCAAAACCTTTTGTAAAATCTAGTTGAAACATTATCATATTTTTGGTGATGAGCATTCGTCGACTGAATCATGGGCAGCTTAGGCAGCTCCGCCACTTTCCACGGAGTGGAGGGGTCAACAGCTTTGACGATTGCGCATTGCTGAACAAAAATTCAAGCATGGAGTAGTACATTTCAACGCGCACTCAGGTGGGGGAGGGCAATTTGTCCCTCCTCGAAGGTTTTGCAGAGAAATTTCCGTGGCGCAGCCGCATAAAACTTTGCATAGTTGTAGGCGGTTGAATAGCGCATATTTTGGTATTCAAAACTAGATGCACCTTGTAAGGTCGTTGACATATGGCAGGTCAAAGTCAGGCCGTGGCTGTCAGCGAAGGCAATTCCAAGTGAGTCGCTCAATCTGGTGCGACAACGGAGTGTCAGACTGAGCCTTGGTTTTCTTATAGGTCAGAGGCCACGGACATGAAATCACCCAGATCGGCCATTTGTTCTTAGGTGCATACCGCTTAGCTTAATTCGTGAAGCTGTGCAATTTAAGAATCAAAACATATCGCAAGTGGTTGGTCACAATGACCTTATTAAGGGCAAACAAGGTCGTTGACCTGAAACTAACACCACTTACATTTTGCTTCGGGCAGGTTTCTAGGTTGAAGGCGGTCGCACGAGAAGGTCCGGGGGCACTTTGGACAGGAAGGTAAAGTTTGGCCTTGTTTTAACTTAATTGTCCAGAATTTCAAGACCTAAGGACCTCAAATATTGACAAAAGGGATTGCACGCACAAGTCTACCTGGTCCGTGAATTTGGTGTCCCAAGCTGCCTTAGTTTTTTAGATCTTATAGGGTCAAATTGATCCCCATGCGAGCGCGACGTATTCATCCGGACCCCGAGTGCGTGTGAAACGTGCGTAACACATTTCACCTAGGTTATATCTTAAAATGATGCCGTTGACCTAGTGCGTAGGGTAAAACGAGGACAACTTGCGTTGTTGCCGTCTCTTCTGATAGGCTTGCTCAAGGTAAAAGCAGAAGTTGACCAGTGAGACAACACGGTGACTGTGCTTCCTCTGATGACGGTGGCGACTGTGCGTTCGCCGATGACGGCGGCGATTGCGCCACCTCTGATGACGGCGACTACTGTACTACAACTGATGGCGGCGGCGACTGTGCTACCTCTGATGACGGTGGCGACTGTGCTATCTCTGATGACGGCGGCTTCTGTACTATAACTGATGGCGGCGGCGACTGTGCTACCTCTGATGACGGCGGCGACTGTGCTACCTCTGATGACGGCGGCGACTGTGCTACCTCTGATGACGGCGGCGATTGCGCTACCTCTGATGACGGCGGCTACTGTACTACAGCTGATGGCGGCGCCGACTGTGCTACCTCTGATGACGGCGGCGACTGTGCTACCTCTGATGACGGCGGCTACTGTACTACAACTGATGGCGGCGGCGACTGTGCTACCTCTGATGACGGCGGCGACAATGCTGCCTCTGATGACGACGGCGACTGTGCTATCACCGATGGCGGCGGCTACCGCGCGATCACCGATGACGGGGAGAGAATGTAAGGCAGCCCACATGTCCTGTATTTAAAGTCCGAGGTGGGGATGTCACGCCGTTCGATATGTTCGTGTGTGCAGCGTTGGTGACGAAAACACTTCTAAAGCATTCAGTGCATTACACTAGGAGGTACGTAAACGGCATGGCCTTCGCATGAGGGTTGAATGTTGGGGATAGAGGTGAATGTGAATTGCAGATTAGCGACGCCTCGTGATCGCGGATGCTAAACCATGACGACTAAGCGAGGTAAATCGTTTGTTGCTGTGCTGTTCGTGGCAGATTGCCACGGTATTTCCTTCCGACAAAGCTGAATGTGTTTTGAAGAGTTTAAAGCGCCCCATTCTTAGGGAAAAACGTGGACAAATAATGAAGACAAAAGCATGATGACAGGAGGATGATGGAGAGCATAGCAGACACGTGATGATAGAAGGTACATGCCGCTGATGACAATGATGATGAGGTGTTCCGGAACTGATGCAAGGAGCACATATGATCTGAATGTAAACAACGGATCTGGGAAGGGGTATAGGATCCAGACTGAAACGTTACCGAATGATCTTATGGGATCCAGGATCCTTTTAAGACATTGCCAAAGGATAACCCGGGTGTCTTTAGATTTTCCTCGACTAGCGAAGTCGACTTGAAGTATGGACAAGGGAGGAAAAGCTGTCTCAATTTCAAAATTTTTAGTTTACACTAAAAGGTTGTGGAAAAACTGCGGTATTTGTAACGTCCTTGTCCTGTCACAACGCTCGCTTTGATGAAGTTGATTAATCGTGAAACGGGTCCATTATCACTAGCTACACCGTAAACGGGTCCATTATCACTAGCTACACCGTAAAACTTAAAAATAGTCCCCTGATTTCTTTTTTGTCTCGCTAAAAAAAATTGCAGAGAAAATAGCTGAAACTCACTTGACATGGGCATGCATCACAAAGAAATGAATTCCAAACAAACAAAGCAAACCCATTGACATTATCTAGCTCATGCTCACACTAGATCCTACAACAATCCCACAGCCAAAATGCATCATTGTTCAAAACGCTGACATAGCGCTTGCTGCGCCCTGCCGAGCCTGCACCAGACAGCCTGAAGCCGGGCAGGTCACCATTCTGTCCAAGCCCCGTCCTGCCGAGCCTGCACCAGACAGCCTGAAGTCGGGCAGGTCACCATTCTGACCAAGCCCCGTCCTGCCGAGCCTGCACCAGACAGCCTAAAGCCGGGCAGGTCACCATTCTGTCCAAGCCCCGTCCTGCCGAGCCTGCACCAGACAGCCTGAAGCCGGGCAGGTCACCATTCTGACCAAGCCCCGTCCTGCCGAGCCTGCACCAGACAGCCTGAAGCCGGGCAGGTCACCATTCTGACCAAGCCCCGTCCTGCTGAACCCGCACCAGACAGCCTGAAGCCGGGCAGGTCACCATTCTGACCAAGCCCCGTCCTGCCGAGCCTGCACCAGACAGCCTGAAGCCGGGCAGGTCACCATTCTGACCAAGCCCCGTCCTGCTGAACCCGCACCAGACAGCCTGAAGCCGGGCAGGTCACCATTCTGACCAAGCCCCGTCCTGCCGAGCCTGCACCAGACAGCCTGAAGTCGGGCAGGTCACCATTCTGACCAAGCCCCGTCCTGCCGAGCCTGCAC